TCAAGAGTGATATGGCTGGAGGCCACAACGTTTGGAACTGAACGAGGATCCGAGTATGGCGTACTAATTTCCACACTAACGGTGCACCAGCTCAAGGACTTTCTAAAAACAGCGGCGAGTGAGAAGGACCTTTTGAAACCAATAGGCACGAGTTACCTCGCCGGAGACCGGGTCGCCATGCCAGCGCCACTGCGAAAATGTCTTTGCCAACCTGCTGTATGTAATTATGATACAAGGATTCGACACAGAACGCCCGAAGCGACCAGGTAGAGAGAGATTGGTGCCAGAGCGTCAGGGTCTGTCAGAGAACTTACAGCGCATCGCCAAGCTGGCAGCGGTAGTAGGCCGTAATGATACCAGTGGCCATGGCATGGAGTTTACGGCGCTGCGATTTTCAAGTCAAAAGATGACATGTCTGGCCGCAACAATCATATGATTGATCAGCCGAACTCGGGCTGTGCTCGAATCGTTGGCTAGCTTGGAGGGTCACCTACGGCGTACGATTTCAGGCAGACTTGGACCGTGGTCGAATTTGTGTTACCTCGACCACACAGACAGAAGAGCTTGAAGATGCCCACTTCTTATCATGTCTTCGTGTTGGACCTTCATGGTCTCATCCTGGCTCACTTTGGCTTGTGGTCCCTAGATCACTTGATACCTTGAGCTATCAGAGCGCAACAGGTGTCGCCTGATACCGCCACTTTTAGCAGCCTGTTGGTTGGTAGCGGCACCTTTCACTGACGCTGCAGACATAGAGTCAGAGCTCAAAATGAATGTCATCGGCAGGACAATACCATCTGTAGCCCTTTCTCGCCATCATCATGCACAAAGTTGTGAAGGATCTTCGAATCCAGTCTATAGGGAAAGTGATGACCCGTCAGTTCAGCTCGCCTCGTCCGCATTGTCATCTGGCGTTTGGTAGGTTCTGTTGGTAGAGTATGCCCAGAGGCTGCCGCCGCTGAAACAAACAAGTTACGCATGTAGATTCATTTCATTTGAGTGTTGGATAGCGTTCTGCGTTCTGTACCACTACCATGCAGCAGCATGCATACTGGCAAGGTGGAAAGTTCCAGATCAGAGCAACACTGACCAGATGACGAGGGAAGAGGCAGGCTGATGGTTTTTTCCTTCTTTTTGTGTTTTCCACAGTCCTATAGATGCTCCTTGGCCACCCCACGCTCAAGAGCTGGTATCGGGGGCTTTGTAGACTTTTCGGAGTACAATAGCCTGATGGTATCGACCTGCCCACCAAAGGTGAACTGGCACTGTACTGCGTAGATGGACCCCTTGAAAGTCGCGATGGGGTGGCGTAGGTGACTCGTCCGTCCATCCACCAGTTTTGCAATGGACGCTGCCAACCGTAGACCAAGTCGCTTGCACGAACGGCATCATCTCCGCTGTCACTACCAGCACACCATCGTGCCCAGAAGCTGGGTCGCCGGGATCCCAGGGATCAGCTCCACCCGGAGGCTCAGTCAAGCTGTGGTGCCATGTACATCTCTGAAAAGAAGCCCCGAGCAGCACCACCGAGCCCCAGACATACATACCGGTACGTAATGTTTCTTTCTTTCAGTGTGACTCATACCTGACTTCGCGGGTTTAGACATCGGCAGATCCTTGCCCGTGCAAGGACTGCTGCCGTCATACTGACCAAGACCTGCCTTTTGGCCTCTCCGTCAGCTAGCGTCATAGTTGCGACAGTGACGGATTTGGGGGAACCCTGCGCTATCAGTGATTATAAATAGCAAAGTGAAGTCGGCATCGCCACAAGCAATGACACAAAAGCTCAGCATCCAAGCACAATGTCCACTTCCTCCGCTGCCTCCCGTCGCCTTCCCTCGAAGATCCGCGCTCACCGGCCCAGATCCCTGAGGTTGACAGAAGACAAGAGAACAGAGATATATACGTATGCCTTGCAAAGCCCCGAGCTTTCTTACCAAGCTATCGCCGACAAGTTTCAAATCTCGAGCAGGTATGAGAACAAGACTGCGGTCCAAGATTCAGCGGCGAAACTCAATCGCTAAGAAAATGACAGTACGGTAGGAAAGGTGATACGAGAAAAAAAGACACCACGTCAAACTACGCCTGTAGCGGATTACGTGCCATTTTACCCTGACTATCTGGAGCCGCCGCCTGCGCCAGACTTTGGGCAGCAGCAACCGAAATTTGCAGAGCTGGGCCATTGCATTTGCCACTTGATCCCCTTGGAAATGCTAGAGAAAATTGCTGGGTACGGAAACCTGCATGTGAGCAACGGCGTTGGAGGCGACGGATCAGATGGAGCAATCGCTTTGCCGAAAAGTGCCCAATCCACAGCGGGCGTGCAGTTTCCCACGCAGTGAGCCAGAAGCGAGAGACAGACACCTACTCCTGCGGAAGAATACAGCTTGTACCTCGTAGGGAATTAAAGCACATTACTAAATGACTGGTGATTACAGCTGTGGTAATCAGGATCCTCGTATGATAGCATAAATAATGCCATATCTAACCTTTTGTACACCTTCCTCACCCCGACCAACAGTACCTTTTTGCCTGCGTCCTGTATAGTTAGCCATAGACAGGTAAATAGCGGGTCCGTGATACCAAAAAGGCCCAGCCCATGATAGCCTGCTCTATAATACGTTGGAGGTGATGTTGTTATATAAACCAGGATTTCTGTGTTGTATGCTTCGCATTTGAGCTGGGTGTGCAGAACGATTTCCAAGTCTGACGTGGCAAGTCATGAATCTTCCCATGTTGGCAGCTGCGAAAGAGCTACCTTTTGCTATCTGCAATGCCCCCGTCTGCATTCTCCCCGCTCGTCTTGCCGCAAATATTCCCAGTCGATCTCCGAGCTCCTGAGCATGGACCGCTAGCTTAGTGTCTGCGCCATTACTTCCAGTTGACACGGTCTACAAGCTATGAACGCTGCTCGGAAGGGCCAGCGAGATAAATTGCAGTCTGTTCGAATTATGGCAACGCTTCGGAAGGCCTGGCGCATGCACAAAAGTCACTAGCGGGCGAGAAGCCGATAGTCAGACCCTATCACTGCGAAGAATGCTCCTTGGTAGGGGTCAATCATAAGCTGTCGTTGCTTGAGCTTCACAATCGGTTTCAAGAGGTCACTTTGCTAGGTAAAAAAATACGATGAGTTGTATGCCGCGTGGAATTCATTGGGAAAGAAGTTGAAATTTTTGATCTCAGAGACGAGCATATGACTACTGGCAGAATTCAGATAACGCTCCCGCCCCGTGACGGCGCCCGGGAGATGTACGTTACCGGGCGACGTCCACGGGGGACGTGCCGCGGGCAGCGCCCCTGGCGCACAGCCGAAGCCTACTCTTGTCCATCTGTACGTGCGGGCGGTATTATTCAGCTGCATATTAATACCAAACTCACAAAGTATCAGTGCTTGACTGCTCCTATGCTCGGCAAAGGCTCCCCATCCTGCTAGCTCTCACAGCTCCAACTGAAAAACAAGTACCTCGGCCTCGTCGTTGTTCGGCTCAGGATTCATTGTGGTATGGCTGCAAAACTGCAAGCGTGTCTTGTAAGCATCCTCAGCGTTGACTGTGGGAGCTCGCCCGCTTCGTTTGTCCGGATCCTCACGATGACGCATCTGTTCTGAAACTGCCTGACAGGACAGAATAGAAGCGTGATGCCGAGTTTTATCGCTGCCATCGCATTTCGTTGCTTGTATGAGCTGCCGTGTGAGCGCGGAATCTGACTTTTTGCTGCCGCTGATTTTGGCTTTGGCAAACTGTTTCGTCCATATCTGCTCATGAGGCTCGCGGTCTCGCGTTTGTGGTACCCCCTTTTGAAGTCTCGCACGTCGTCGCATTGTAGATTGTCCGACGGATTGTACCGATATGGCAAATACGAGATCATTTATATGAGCTGAACCATTGTGCAGAGCTTATTATAGGATTTGGTGTACGCTTCTGCCCTCTCTGCATAAGAAGCGGGCTTGTACATTGTATAGCTCGGAAATAGACAGATAGTGGACCCTTTCTAGAGTCAGCCAATCTGTCCATCTGAGACCCTTCTCAAAGCACAATTTGTTTACGTTTATCCTGGCTACAACGTGGGGCAGTCGGAACAGCGGTAGCGGCAAAGTCGAGCCGGCTGATCACATTGGCCTGACTCGACGAGGGCACTGAACCGGCCGTATCGGCAATCAGGACAAGATTTCATCAAATGCATTCACGACTCGGTGGGTCAGCTGATTGGCAAGGCAAACAATATCGTTGTAGGCTGGGATTCATCGAGCAAGAACAAACTGTTGCAAGCGGCCAAGATACAAGCCAAAACTGCAACACAGCAAGCACGGCACCTGAGATTCAGTTTCCGCTGATGAAATCCACGACTTTGAACATCGGACGTAGAAAACTTGGAGGTGAACGGTGTTTGCCTGAAGGAGTAGGGAAATTCTCCAAGGAAATGGATGCCGCTCTTAGGAAATGGCCATGAGAGGAGCGCTCAGCGCTTCCCCAACTAAGAACAGACATGGCAAGACTGAATGGTTATCTCCACCGCATCAAGGCAGTGACCTATGAACAATGCGCATGCGGACAGGCGAGGAAAACGGTGGAGCACTTCCTCTTCCAATGCCTGTAATGGGAGAACAGCGAAAAGAGATGCGAGCAAGCGCGAGCACGAGATGGAGTGATTTGTCCTTCTGATTGAGGGGGTAGGGGGTAATTGCCGAAATGGACACCGCACATGGGTAAGAACACGAACAAGGATGAGGAAATGAGGGGAGACAGAAGTGTACGTAAGACTAGCTAGTGAGCCCTATTGGCTGGAAGCCACCGGGCGTAATAGACAATGAATGAATGTTCCGTTCGCTTACGTACAGTTAGGCTGGTGCTTGTGAAGCGAGCGCGACGCATCCGCGGTGGGTGCGCACCGAGCGCCCCACCTCCCTCCCTCACCCAAGCGACACGACTTGCGCGACGCGTGTGATACGTGTTGTAGATGTTCCTTCATCGAAACTGCCCTTGCTCATGGCGCCGAGCACGATGCCACAACAAAAGCACAAAGCGAAACGTGTCGCTATCGACTTCGGGACAACAGGAACCGGTATCGCCCGCTATGATAAGTCGACTGAGATGCCCTGCCTTGTCCCCGTAGGCTGGAACGTCACAGAAGATTCACCTCGCACTAGGCTGCCTGCAGCGATGCTTGTCACGCAATTCGAGCACGGCGTCGATGTCGCCGTTGTAGGCTTCGAGGATGAGTCGAAATTTCGCGCCGAAAAGGAAAGAGAGGGCAAAGTCATCCGCTCCGAATTGATCGCTGCCCCCAAGCTTCTTCTAGACCCGAATCGATGCAAGAAGGGTCAAGCCCTCAAGGACGCAGAATACCTACAAGAAGTGAACGTAACACCCTGGCACCTCTATAGGGTCTACATGGAGAGGATCCTGCAGTTTGTCAAGGATAATGTCGACATAGACAGCATCGAAACCTGGTGTCTTACTGTGCCAGTCATATATACCACAGCCGACAAACCAAGCGAAGAAATGCAGGACAAAATGACACACGAGATGATCACCGCCGCAAGATCCGTAATCAACGAAGAGTACAATATCGATGGCTCTCTAGAGTTCGAGTCAGAACCTGTCGCCGTAATGGCACAGCTAGTGGCGCAGCGATCGCTTAAAACCCAAGGCGAGGTAAGAACACACCAACCCGCCCACGCGCAAACAGGGTTACTAATCTGTGACAGATAGTAGTAATGTGGGACGCTGGCGGCAGCACTGTGGTACGTACGCCGAGGCTTATACTGCGAATTCCGCTGACAGTCATGTAGGACCTCGCCGCTGCCGAGGTGGTTGACCATTTGAGCGCTGCTGAGGTGATTGACCACTTGAGAGCTGCCGAGGGGAAGAGGCAAGCTCTCAAGTTCATCATCGCTGCGGGTGCGTCATCCGGCACCTACTACATGTGGGAAGAACTGAAGAAGGCTTGCGAAGGCGAAGAACAAACGTACGGCTTTGCCAGAAAAGCCATCGAGGCTATGACGGAGCCATGCGATATCACAAGAACGAATATTTCAGAAGCTACCGTGCGCAAAATTATGAACGCCTCTTATTGCGCAGCTTTCAAGGAGACATATGTCATGTTGTCCAAATTGCGGAGAATGAAGTACTCGGCGCCGAAGATCATAGTGGTCGGTCGGGCTCCTGGCGCCAACTCGATGATCAATGCGTTTCTAGTCTCGAGTCTCCAGGGAATACTTCGCCGGGTGTTCGAAGGGCAGACTTTACCCGATATTGAGGTTCCAGGAGGCCTAGACGTTGGGTATGTAAGCGTCAACTCATGTCATAATCAGCGCGCTAATATTACACAGTACCAGTGTATGCAGAGGCGCTGCTTTGCCATATAATAGCGACCCTGTGCAAGCCTTCACAGAGGCCACGGTGGCTGTTTGCTATCGAGCGGACGGGGGAAGGGGCCTACCAAAAGAACTTCGAGGAAAGGACAATGCACTCGTCGTCATAAAGAACAGCGGCGTTGAGAAGCTGTCGAAGCAGTGGCTGTCCTGCCAGGTGGACGGTGCCCCTAAGAAGTTCGTGGTACACCTCCACGTCATTGTTTCAAAGCGGAAGCCGTATACGTACGAGGACGAAACCAACAGTACCTTATACTGTTACCCGAAGGCGGCCGGGCTCACTATGAATGCATTGCCTATCAATCTGGAGGGGCATGCAAAGGACGGGGACCGGATAGAGTACATGATATCCCAGCCCGACCCGCGAAAGCCGACTGCCGTTGCAATCGAAGTAAAATGCCCGAACGGCAGAGTGGCAACGCAATGTGAGCTGATCAAGGATCGAGAAAGGTTACAGCTTCGACTGGTAAAAGGACGCACCTTCCAAGACCACGACGAGGTTCTCCAGCTGGCGGCTCGCGCAGACGGCCAGGGTGATGCGTACGACGGACCGGACACTGAACCAGAGGAAGGTTCCACCTCGGTCCAACTACCGCTGCACGCAAATAAACGGGGACAAGAAAACGGGGGAAAAGCCTCCCCCCCAGGGAAGAGCCAGAAACGACGCAGACTGCCAGACCGGGCAGATGCCAACCGTTGAGCGCAAGCGCAAAGCTTTCTCGGAGCTTTGGGAATGACGATCTTTATGTACTTTGATATTTTGTTTTGTTCCTCATGCGTTGTACTATACTATGTGGTGGATGGTGTCTGTTCATCATGTGCGTTATAACGTTCTGCTTCTGCGCCAAGGCTACTCGAAAAATTTGTACTCTAAAGTGGCTCTTGAAAAGTGACTGTGCTTATGACATTGGGGAACAACCCAGCATTGACGTACTACTTGCTTTCCCAGTGACCTTTTCCAGTCCCCTGGGTGTCAACGTCGGATGTTGCCAGAATCGACACACATAGACATTTCGACCGACTTAACAAAAGGATCAATGGTCCCAGCATGTGCGGGCAACGCCAACATCTCTCTCAGTCGAAAAGGCCAATGGATGAGGCGAATAGTCAAACAGTTACTTAGACATAGCTAGTGAGCCCTATTGGCGGGAAGCCACCGGGCGTAATAAAACAATGAATGAATGTATACGGCTGCATATGCGTAAACGGATCACGGGGCGTCGCATTGAGCCGTTTGGCATCTTACCTTATGAAAAGCTGCTGCGTCTATCTCCTTGAACCGTGATTATTATTCCCCGATTATCCTAGTTTCAAGCGATCCGTAAGGTGTCATCTACATTAAAACCCAATGCTTCGTGAAGAGCCGTCTCCCCACCTTATTAGCGTGGCGATCGTTCTAGCCGTCGTAATAAGTAGTATAGAAATCATGCCTGCAGAGGTGTTGATGGCGGCCAAGCTAAGGGAATTCATTGCGTCGGGCATATCGCTGTCACTGTCCCTACCGACGCACCCTCAAGCAGGCCGCCGGTGATGGCAGCACCTTCTCACAGCAGCTTGAAAGTGGCTGCTTGTGTATTCATTCATTGGTTTTTTACGCCCGGAGGCTTCCAGCCAATAGGGCTCACTAGCTATTTTTCAGTACACTTCTCATTGCCTCATCCTTGTTCGTGTTCTTGCTGATCGTCTTGCAGCTGCCCTTCCCCGCCACCTGTCTATTATCGATGACTAGCTAGCTTGAGGGCTATTCCAAAAGTGTTCGGAGTCCTATCTTCAGCGACCGAAGCATCACAAGTCATCGTCCTGATGCTGACCGCTATGTAGCGAAAAAGTTGAGCTGTCCAACATGTAGCAAAAATGTAAGCCAGGATAGTTTCCTCTCTACAGCAATGATATTTGCCTTGCCAATCAGCTGATCTACCGAGTCGTGGATGCATTTGATGAACTCTTGTCCTGATTGCTGATACGGCCGATGAAGTGCAGCCACCGCTCCCTTGTTGCGTGTGAAGAGGGCGATGTTTTGATGCTACAGCTGTTCGGCAGATTCCGCAGCGCATACGCCATGGCCGCCAAATCGCCTGAGAATGGGTTCTGTTCTGTTCGCGCTCCCAGGGTGAGGGAGAAAACTTCCCGCTTCGCCTTTCCTGTTGCGGCATTCTCGGTCTCAATCACTCCACCAACACCTACTATGCCGTTTCTCGACGAGCTTCTCACAGCAACAGCTTGCGTCCATCCTGCACGATCCTCATCACTTGAGTCGCTCAGTGACAGCCCTCAACGCTTTCTCCATGGTTCCAGTGAACATGGATGGATGGTCTCCAGCTGCACTAGCGGTATGCCCTTCAGCTTCTCGGCCACCTAGTAGAGGTGTGATAGAAAGGACGCATAGTATTTTTTTGATGCGTTTGGTCACTCTGCTGAGCGGACCTGTCCCTGACAGTGTGTGTACATCAACCAACATCTTGATCGCCCGATAAGAAACGCTCCCGCGCGCTCACGATGTGGGCCTCAGCCTCCGCAACGGCCGTCCTACGGTCATGAAGGTGCCCACGATGGCTTGCGCCCCTGCCCGCTGAATACGGTTAATCGGTCCTATCAACTTGTCTTTGTAGGCATGCATCCACACATTCGAAGCGTAGTCCACAACTGGAATCACTGTGGCTGCAAACAGCTGACGAGCCGTTTTTGCTGACAGTCCTCGAATTCTCGTCAGTTCCATGGCCGCTTCAAGGCCCTTTGACGCGGCCCGAGCGATGTGTTGTCTAAATTGAAGCCGATTGTCCATAACCACGCCTAGGATCTTGGCGGATTCTTGGGGATGCACAGGCTGCCCTTTGATCACAATGGGTGTTGTGTCAATTTCTCGTGCGATACGGGTACAGTGTACGATTGCCGTTTTCTTCGCCTCCAATGTCGCACCGCTCCGTAGTTCCCATTCTGTGGCATGTTCAACTATCGACTGGATGCCTTCAAGATTGCTTTGCGCTGTTGGGTCGCTTACCCAGGCCGTGAAATCATCAATGAAAGCGGTTGCTCCTCCGTTCGCATCCATTCGGCGTTGGACCAAGTCCGCGTTGATGCTCGTGTATAGTAAACGCTGCTGTTTTCTCTTCAGAGGACGCATTTCCAACAGAAGAGCACGCGTCGTGAAATGGAGACATGCAGTGAGGATAGTCTGGCACCGTGGCTCGTCGTTAGTGAGGCGGCGAACGGGTCTGCCAAGCAGCCAATGAGTCGGGCCAAAATAGCCTCTTCAATACACGCCCAATCACGACGTCTCAACTGATCGTGGTCTAGTCGCGTCGATAATGGACCTGAAATAGTTGGCGTAGGGAATCCTAGAGTAGTGATTTTAGAATAGTGATTTGGGTGATGAAAACCAGTCCGGTGCATACGCTCGATATAGTCCGCGTGGCAAAGGAATGTGTCAACCCGCGACTATAAGAACCTAGCCCACCGCTCTTGTCATTGCAATCATGAAGCCTCAGTTCTTTGCTATGGCCGTCGCCTCGCTTGGCGTGATGGCAGTTCCTGACACGGATGTTCCGGAATGCCAAGAAGAACACATGAAGCCGTGGAAAGGCGACATATTCACGTACGAAAGCCCCACCTCCAACCAAACGTGCGACAGCGTCACCATCACCTTTCCCGACGGTGATCCGAGTAAACTGGTGCACACCAACATCTCAGGCAATACCGGTCGTTGTGCGAAGCCAGAGCAGACTATAACTCTTCCCGGTGACATCTCTGGGCTGATGCGGCTAGATTGGCAATGCGCTGGCAGACTGCCGTCACCATGCCGCATCATCACTGTCAAAGACGAGTCGCGCCCGGGCCTGAGCAGCAATGCGACGGCATCATTTTCTATACAGCAGAGTTGTCCTAGCGCGACCACAGCGGCTAGTTCGATGTCTACGGTTGGAGGAGCCAGTACTTTCCGTACTACAACGGCCCTGGTTGTGCCATCGAGCAATGAGCCGTCGTTCGCCGCATCGCCTGCAACATCGCCTGCAGCATCGTCCGCATCGTCCGCATCGTCCGCATCGTCCGCATCGTCCGCATCGTCCGCATCGTCCGCATCGTCCGCATCGTCCGCATCGCGTCCGCTCGTCCGCATCGTCCGCATCGTCCGCATCGTCCGCATCGTCCGCATTGTCCGCATTGTCCACATCGCCTACCGCATCGTCCGCATCGCCTGCCGCATTGTCCGCCGCATCAGCGTCCCCGACGACGGCAGCCCTGCCAAACACGACATCGAACATGTCTGTTCAGCCCAAGAGCGCATCTCCCTCAGGATGTACCTGTATTCATAGCTAGTTCTATAATGCACCCTTTTATAGTGGTAGAGTAATGCTTTTGTAGACTTGATGCTGATGCCGCTCTCCGAGGTCGCTCTTCATAGCTGGCTGGCGAGATCGTTGCCATGTCGAGATAGAAATAGCGGGATTCGAACGGTAAGGACTGCGTCAGTGTATGGAGAACAAAACGGCTACTAGAGTGCTTATTGACTGCATATCGTTCTTGTTTGTTTCTGAGTGTTTTCCTAGCTAATTTGAGGGGTTGGACGATTTTTTCAATGTAACTAAACGATCTTGGTACAAAGAGGAAGAATTGAAGAAGTAAGAAGAGAGATCCAGGGGATCTCTCGCGGAATAACTGGGGTGCGCACTGACCTTAGCACGATGCACGACAACACACCGAGGTCGTCAGGCCGAGTCTCCATCAGCGTCTACCCGTGACAGTAGTACAATTAATGGTTGTGTCGATAGCCAGCCTGTTCGTGGGCTGCTTTTTCTGAGCCCAAGAGGAGCACTAAGCGGGAAATATTCCTTTGACTGCGGAGGAGCTCTGAGGTCTCAACCCACACAACCCGACTTAGCGTAGGTGCAACGCGGTACTTCGTCAACAACGCGTGTTCCTTGTTGAATCAGTCGTAAGTTATTATCGTGTGTTCTTTTCGGAAAAAAGTATGAGCCAAATTATGACGGCTTATCTGCTCTCTCTGGCGAACCGACCCTTACTTTGACTAGAAGAGGCTGCCTGTGCTGCCCAATGGGTGCCCTAGGGATTGGTGACCAGCTCAGAGTCCCGCGAAGGCTTCAAGGACGGATTTTATAAGGTAAGTTGGCGTTCAGTGGTGTAAAAGTTCTCTTTTAGATCTACCTCGTCAACAGCTTTATACTACGGCGATTTCAAGAGCCTACCTGGGCGGCAATCCCACAATTCAGTGGCGGCGGTGCCTTGTCCATCTCGTTCGTCAAGTCATGGTGCATGCAAACCCGAACACATGAAGCCATTACACCACCCTCTCGTTACCCGGCACGGGAGAGGTGCACATGAAGGAGATGACAGAATGTACTGATACACAGAGAGGTAACATTCTATTCTACATCGAAGAAAAACTCTCTTCGATGGACCAATTAGACCAAGACCTGGAAGTAGTCAGGCGGTAATCTATTAAGCGTTGGCTGTTCGACTGAATAACGACTGAGACGTAACCACCTTGCCTATCTTCCAATCTCGTAGTAAAACCGCATATTGTGGCCGCTGGAGATAGCGAGATCCTAGGCGACGATTCTTTCACCGGGACTCTCATGGGCGCCCGATTAGTACATGGAACATTTTGCACTGCCTCGTCATTGCTGCTATTGTAAATATGTTAGCCCTGGCACGATTGCGACGGAACACTAGACACATGAGGCGCGAACTTGCCTACGTGCGAGATAGGTGAACAGATGCACAGTCTCACACAATAAAGTGATCCAGATCGTTGTCCTGGGGTGGGCATTTGTCCGTTTTCTCTAGCTTGGCAAAAGAATCTGAATCGACTGGTTGGCTGCGCTTTGGCGACAACTGTGCTTTGGTTGAGCGGTCATACATGACTCGATCTGCACGGCGAAGACCGGGTGCTCGACTTTGAGCCGCGTCTGGCATTTCCAGTTGGCAGCATGCTCTTTGAATACAGGAACTTCCGAGAGCGGCGGTGTTTATATAGATACGGTGACTGTATTCCACCGCGTGGCTGTGGCTGTCTCCTGCGTCCAAGCTAGTCATATCTGCGCGCGTGTCACGCACGCGTGACCTGCATATACACCCTAGCCTAGAAAATGTCGGCCATGTCTGTACAAGGACGAAGGCTAACGTACATTGATGTTGTTGTCCGCATACGTGGACTGTGAGTGAAGTGAGTTGTCTATCTAACACTATGGGAAAGGAGTGGAGGGATGCTGCTAATATACATATGGGTGGCAACTCATGGAACCTTCTAGATATCACTAGTCTCTTCCATCCAACAAGAAGCGAAGATGGAACATGGAGTGTTCAATTTGCATTGACGACATCAAGTTGAGCGAGGTAGCAGTACCCCTGCCGTGCAATCATTCGTTTCGTGGGGTGGCGTTGTTGCCTGGTTCAAGGCGCGCAATGCCTGCGCTGTATGCCGTGCACCGATGGAGCAAAGTGAACGCTGCGAGAATGTAGCAGAAACACGGAAACAGCAGTTACAGAACCAGAAAAATAGCCAGAACCAGCATCGAGCAGAGAGTGGGGCGCTCTGACGCCAATAGGTGTCCCGGTTGATGAGCTTGAGTTGCACAGAGGGCGGCCCGCTCGCGAAGCCACCTTCTGGATTGACTACGCTCCCTTCCTCATGGCTGCCAAAACAGAGCCAGACATGCCTCAACAAAACGACGCGCCATCTCTCCTCACAAATCAGCGAGCGAGACAGACCGCGGGAGTCGTCGACAGGAATTCGCTACGATGCCTCACGGCTCCAGAACCGCGGCTCAATGTCACAAACTAGCCCTAGAGTGTTGTCGGATACCTAACATATGTACATTCATTGTTTTATTACGCCCGGTGGCTTCCCGCCAATAGGGCTCACTAGTTATGTCTAAGTAACTGTTTGACTATTCGCCTCATCCATTCCACTTATTCCTGTCGTTCTCCGATCGCTTCCACCTCGTCTTTCCATCCCAGCAGCTCCCGTTCCATGTTGTTTACTACTGATGACTGACTATCTTGAGGGCTATTCCTCAAGTGTTCGGAGTCCTATCTGCAGCGACCGAAGCGTCGCTGGTCATGTTGTCGTGGATGTGGCCGCACGGTATGATGAAAAGCCTGTTCTAGTTCTTGGCTTGTCAATTGTCGAATCTTCCTGTGGCGAGTGTATATTGTATCGTTGCTCGGATTGCCCCCATGTTTGGTTTCCATTTCGGTCCGTCTGATGCCGACTTTCCTCCTAGTCGGTGTGACAAGTCATCCCATCTCGTGCTCATGCATGCTCGTAACTCTTTTCGCTGTTCATCCCATTGCGGGCACTCTAAAAGAAAATGTTTGACCGTTTCTCTTGCCTGCCCGCACGTACATTTCTCCGAGGGCACTGCTTTGATACGATGGAGATACTGTATCCGTTCAATCTCGAGTCCCATCCTACCGACAATGTGTTGGCCTTGCCAACGAGCTTCTCTACCGAGTCGTAGATGCATGTGATGAATTCTTGTCCGGACTGTTGGTAGGGTCCCCTCAGTGCTGCCACCGCTCCTTTGTTGCGCGAGAAAATTGCGATATTTTGGCGATTGCTGTCGGGTAGAGTCTCATGGGCAAAATGGGCTTCTAGTTTTGATTAAATATTTAGTTTTTGGACTAACTTCGATAGAGCTAGAAATGAGTCAAAATTTCTCAAAACGACCTTATAATGAACGCAAAACTCATTCAAACGCTTTTAGCCTCACCCCGCGGTTTTTTTTTTCAGTCGCAATACTGATGCGCAGCTGCCAGTTGGTGTCTGGAGGCTCAGATTAGCGACAGATGTGTGGAGATTTGGGGACTGAATGAATGAATGAATGTATTAATATATGTAAGCATATGTAAGTATATGTACACGCACAGGAGAGGGAGGAAGAATGTAGGCCGGGTCTGTTTTCCTTGCCACATCATGACTTGTATTTGTTGGTCTCTAGTTTTCTCGTCCACTCTCTGTTCACTTGCATTGGAAGAAGAAATGTTGGGAGAGATACCGCCAAAGGCAGTGAAAAGTTGTAATTCGGTGACGTGATCTTGCAGTGTGCTTGGCTGTTTCACTGCAGAAAACGGAACAAAGCATTTTGGGCATCGACGTGGGCTGGCTGTTCTAACGAATTCACATCACGTATAGTCCCATGCCCGCTGAGTCTATCACAATCACGGATTCAAGTTCCTGTCAGCGGAATTTGGACAGCCAAGGCGCATTCCGAATGAAGATATAGGAATGTAGGTTATCATGTAGACCTAGCCGTCCTTCACATTCGAAGGTGGTAGTTAAAACATAGCTCCGATTGAATTTTCCAGCTCCACGAAAGCTTTCAATGTGTAAAACATTGTCTTCGCACTATGCGGATCCCTTCCCGCGCTGGACAACAAATTGATGGCAGAGCATAGCTCGATTCGGAGTCGAAGTGTTATTCATCTGTGTGCCGCTGTCCGAGTAGAAGGTGTCTGTCTGCATAGCCTGGTGGGTACCGCGTATAGTCTTTGTCTGTGTCTCATGGTTGCATGTCGGAGTCGAAGTGTTATTCATCTGTGTGCCGCTGTCCGAGTAGAAGGTGTCTGTCTGCATAGCCTGGTGGGTACCGCGTATAGTCTTTGTCTGTGTCTCATGGTTGCATGTCGGAGTCGAAGTGTTATTCATCTGTGTGCCGCTGTCCGAGTAGAAGGTGTCTGTCTGCATAGCCTGGTGGGTACCGCGTATAGTCTTTGTCTGTGTCTCATGGTTGCATGTCGGAGTCGAAGTGTTATTCATCTGTGTGCCGCTGTCCGAGTAGAAGGTGTCTGTCTGCATAGCCTGGTGGGTACCGCGTATAGTCTTTGTCTGTGTCTCATGGTTGCATGTCGGAGTCGAAGTGTTATTCATCTGTGTGCCGCTGTCCGAGTAGAAGGTGTCTGTCTGCATAGCCTGGTGGGTACCGCGTATAGTCTTTGTCTGTGTCTCATGGTTGCATGTCGGAGTCGAAGTGTTATTCATCTGTGTGCCGCTGTCCGAGTAGAAGGTGTCTGTCTGCATAGCCTGGTGGGTACCGCGTATAGTCTTTGTCTGTGTCTCATGGTTGCATGTCGGAGTCGAAGTGTTATTCATCTGTGTGCCGCTGTCCGAGTAGAAGGTGTCTGTCTGCATAGCCTGGTGGGTACCGCGTATAGTCTTTGTCTGTGTCTCATGGTTGCATGTCGGAGTCGAAGTGTTATTCATCTGTGTGCCGCTGTCCGAGTAGAAGGTGTCTGTCTGCATAGCCTGGTGGGTACCGCGTATAGTCTTTGTCTGTGTCTCATGGTTGCATGTCGGAGTCGAAGTGTTATTCATCTGTGTGCCGCTGTCCGAGTAGAAGGTGTCTGTCTGCATAGCCTGGTGGGTACCGCGTATAGTCTTTGTCTGTGTCTCATGGTTGCATGTCGGAGTCGAAGTGTTATTCATCTGTGTGCCGCTGTCCGAGTAGAAGGTGTCTGTCTGCATAGCCTGGTGGGTACCGCGTATAGTCTTTGTCTGTGTCTCATGGTTGCATGTCGGAGTCGAAGTGTTATTCATCTGTGTGCCGCTGTCCGAGTAGAAGGTGTCTGTCTGCATAGCCTGGTGGGTACCGCGTATAGTCTTTGTCTGTGTCTCATGGTTGCATGTCGGAGTCGAAGTGTTATTCATCTGTGTGCCGCTGTCCGAGTAGAAGGTGTCTGTCTGCATAGCCTGGTGGGTACCGCGTATAGTCTTTGTCTGTGTCTCATGGTTGCATGTCGGAGTCGAAGTGTTATTCATCTGTGTGCCGCTGTCCGAGTAGAAGGTGTCTGTCTGCATAGCCTGGTGGGTACCGCGTATAGTCTTTGTCTGTGTCTCATGGTTGCATGTCGGAGTCGAAGTGTTATTCATCTGTGTGCCGCTGTCCGAGTAGAAGGTGTCTGTCTGCATAGCCTGGTGGGTACCGCGTATAGTCTTTGTCTGTGTCTCATGGTTGCATGTCGGAGTCGAAGTGTTATTCATCTGTGTGCCGCTGTCCGAGTAGAAGGTGTCTGTCTGCATAGCCTGGTGGGTACCGCGTATAGTCTTTGTCTGTGTCTCATGGTTGCATGTCGGAGTCGAAGTGTTATTCATCTGTGTGCCGCTGTCCGAGTAGAAGGTGTCTGTCTGCATAGCCTGGTGGGTACCGCGTATAGTCTTTGTCTGTGTCTCATGGTTGCATGTCGGAGTCGAAGTGTTATTCATCTGTGTGCCGCTGTCCGAGTAGAAGGTGTCTGTCTGCATAGCCTGGTGGGTACCGCGTATAGTCTTTGTCTGTGTCTCATGGTTGCATGTCGGAGTCGAAGTGTTATTCATCTGTGTGCCGCTGTCCGAGTAGAAGGTGTCTGTCTGCATAGCCTGGTGGGTACCGCGTATAGTCTTTGTCTGTGTCTCATGGTTGCATGTCGGAGTCGAAGTGTTATTCATCTGTGTGCCGCTGTCCGAGTAGAAGGTGTCTGTCTGCATAGCCTGGTGGGTACCGCGTATAGTCTTTGTCTGTGTCTCATGGTTGCATGTCGGAGTCGAAGTGTTATTCATCTGTGTGCCGCTGTCCGAGTAGAAGGTGTCTGTCTGCATAGCCTGGTGGGTACCGCGTATAGTCTTTGTCTGTGTCTCATGGTTGCATGTCGGAGTCGAAGTGTTATTCATCTGTGTGCCGCTGTCCGAGTAGAAGGTGTCTGTCTGCATAGCCTGGTGGGTACCGCGTATAGTCTTTGTCTGTGTCTCATGGTTGCATGTCGGAGTCGAAGTGTTATTCATCTGTGTGCCGCTGTCCGAGTAGAAGGTGTCTGTCTGCATAGCCTGGTGGGTACCGCGTATAGTCTTTGTCTGTGTCTCATGGTCAGACGTCGAAGTGATATTCACCTGTGTGCCGCTGTCCGAGTAGAAGGTGTCTGTCTGCATAGCCTGGTGGGTACCGGGTACACTCTTTGTCTGCGTTTCTGTCGGTGCGGTAGTCCTAGACATTGGTGGGCGCTCCATTTGTGTCGTGGTATCTGAGTTAAAAACTTCTGTTTGTACACTCTCATGTGCGCCTGGCATGGCATCTCTCTGTGCGTGGTTGCCAGACGCTGGATTTCCGCCCATTTGTGTAGCCATATCTAGGAAAATGCTTCTTGTTCGTGCGGCTTTGCTATCGCCGCATTCAACCCCGATTTCGGCTGTTCCATCGTTTTGTAAGCTGCCTTCTCCTCGGGTAGCGTTGTCTGAACAGCATGCTCCTGTCTGTACTTCTGATACAACCTTCGCCTTCCTATAATTATACGAGAATAGTATCCCTTCCATTGATTTAGGGCTATCCTGAAAAGCCGGAGTATTTAGGATGGACGCTGCGGCTTCGACCGCTTCGCTCTCGAATACCTGGCGCTCCGCGGAATTTTTGTCGAATATCGGAGAGCTTTCCGTCATCATATGGCCTACGGCACCGTTAAGCGAGGCTGATGGCGGTGACGACTTGTGCCCATGCTGTAGAGATGTCTCGCGGACGACTCTGTTCCCGATCTTGTTTCGCAATATGGCTATTTCTAGGCAGCGAGACTCGTACTTGAGCAGTTCACCGACCTCACGGTGAATCGTGGCGCGAAAGTCAGCCAACACGATTTCAAATGCCGCACGAAACTCAACAGTTTCGAAACTACCATATTGGTTGAGCATCTCGGCCCACTCTTTGCCGGTCTCCCGGTAGTGCCGGGAAGGCCGCCAGGGTCTGAGCAGCAGAAACCATCTAGAGAGCTGCGACTCGCTAGCACCGTCGACTTGGACTGTGGTTCCTAGATCATCATTGAGGACGGGCGATAGTATATGTCGGGCCGAGTCTGGTAGAATATGCAGAGGTATTTTTCTGGTCCGGACTAGCGACAGCAGCAGGAGGTAATATTCCTCTGCCCGATCAGACTTGTCCAGGCACTCCTGCATGTTCTTGCCGGTTCCTTCGTCGACAGAAGCTAAGCGCTTGGCCAGTTGTAGGTGTTTTTCTCTTTGGGAGTCTCGTAACGCATTGGAAGGCTTGAGCGACGATCGAATAAAAAATTCTTTCTTAATTTCAAGGAGGCTCGGGCTTTTGTATGATGCAGGCGCAGCCGTAGCCGCTTTTACCACTCGATCTGTCTGCGTTTTAGGCTGTTTTTCTACATCAGCTTGAGGCTGCTTCTCCGCCTCGGTCGCGATTGTTTGCGCGTAAACATACGTTTTGATAACTGCTGGGGCTTTGAGAGTCAACTTTCTTTGCCACGTCGCTGTCAAAGTCGGCCGGCTTCGCCTTTGTGCACGGTCGGTTGCTGCCAGCACCCCTTTAGCCATGCATGTTCCACCTGAGCACTTCTGCTTCTTCAGCTTAGCAAAGGCTACGTGCATTCGGCTGAACAATGCCTGAAATTCTTCCTCGGTGACTGGATTGCAGTCTTGAAAATCCACACCGCATCTGACCATGCCGCTTTTGACGATTCGAATCATCATCAGTGCGCAGGAACTCTGTTTGAGGGTGGCCATCATGCTTTTCTCGAAAGCCATCGCATCAAAAGACTGTGCGTCAGTGATTTGACCTGGAGCGACCAAATTGTAAAGCCTAAGACAAATTGTTTGCAGGCGGAGCAGCTGGTCGCGGTCTTGCAGCATATTCTTCCACAACTGAAACGAGTCCCTTTGTGCGACCAGTGAAGGCCCAATCCTGTCATATATCAACCAGGCGAACTGCGGTTCTTCATTGCGTATTGCGTCCTCTACTTGTGTTTTATTCGGCGCATTCGGTAGCATGTTAAACCTCTCGTGAATTTTTTTCAAAATTGCGGCTGTCGACTGCGGCATCATCTCTTCCTTGATGTTTGGGTGGTCTCGCAGGGTGGTATAGAGGTGCGCGTAATAGGCGACGTAATCTCGCTCCTCTAGTAACTGTAAACAATTGCTGATCATGGCCCAAGCAGTCTCAATCGGGAATAAACGATATATTGCCATCGACATGTCGTACTCGACACGGAGATCAACAGGCTCAACATCACCAAACGGCACCGGCGTCATATTCTCGACTTTCCCCCGTTTCCGTTGCCCGTTGTTCCCGTCATCTGCCGTCCACTTTCGTTTCTGTTGCTGGAGCTCAGACTTTCCTTGGATCCCAGGTAAGCGACGCTCGTCCAAGCCCGAGCCAGCTGAAGTTTTCTGATCAGCCATCTCTACATGATCGATCTCATCTTCGGTTATTGAATCGACAACGGTACCCCGGTCGGTCATATCCTCTCGCTCCACGGGTGTTTCCACATGGCTAAGTTGTAGGTCGGTCTTAGCCCCTTGCTCTTGATGTGCTTTCAACTCATCTAAATTCTCCCCATATGTTGAGAGCTCTTCAGTAGGCCCTCTTTGGGTGCCCCAAAAGCTTTGGAGATTTGGAATACTCGAAGGACGAGATGAATTGCCTACAGCGGCTTGCTCATCGTCAGCAGATTTCTCTGATACTACGAAAACATATCCTTTTATAGGATCTCGCTCTTCTGTGGCGACTTGCCCTCTCGTAGCGTCTTGATATGGTGAAGTGACGGACTGTTCTGCAGCGATATGCTCTTTTGTAGCAGCTCGCCATTCTGCATGGGCTTCCGTTTCTGTTGTAGCTTGTCCGTCTGTAGCGGCTTGCTTTTCATCAGTAGCCCCTCTCGCCGTAGCGGTTTGCTCTTCTATGGCTGTAGCGACTTGCTCTCCCATATTCTCTTCCCTAGCTGTGGTGGCTCCACCGCCCACAGTGGATTCGCACCTATTGTCGAAGCTGGTTTCGCTGATTTTGTTGTTTCCGGATACCGGGAATTGATTAACATAAGGAATCTCTCGATCGTTTGTCTCGGACTCGGCTTCTGGCTGACTCTCGTCGATGTCGGTATCTAAATTCTGCGGGGCCGTTTCAGGACAGGTTTGTGAGAAAGGGTCGTAATCCCCGTCTTGATCCTCTTCATCTTCACCAAATTTCTTATGGAGCTGCTCAATAATGTGGTTCCTCCCTCTTTGAAGTCGTTCTTGATAGTCTTCGTCGCTTACTGCAAGTTGAGCGCCTGGTGTGCGGCTCCCGTGGGCTTTCCCCCCTCTAATCTGTCTCATGATCTCCTTGGCACTCGTAACAATGACGAGTGCTTCGTTACGCAACTCCGTTAGATCTTTATTTCCGACCTCTTGCAAAGTCTGCACTGCACGCTCTTTCAGTTCCTTTAGCAGCTGATCATTTGGGCCATATTCTTCGTCATTCTCAATATCGTTGGCGCTATCTTGTCGTCGCTCATGATAGCCCATAAATTGAGCATGAATGGCGTCTTCGTCACCATCATCACCTACTATAGCGCTCCAAAGTGCGCCTCTCCTGGCTATCATGTCATTGCATGCCCCAACTTCTTGCCGGCCTTGGCTATCTTTGCCATTGCAGATGCGACTAATGATGTTGCGGCAGCTGGCGGCATCAAGATGCTCTTGCGGGCTGACACAACCGATCAGCTCGTGCACATCCTCCGGTACGAGCTGTTCTTTGTCGAGAAAGGGAAAGTGTCGCCGAAGTACTACCAAAACGAGCTGCCACGCGGGCTTGTCATGTGGATAAGAAGACGGGAGCCCATCAAGCACGCTGCTAAGCCAGAGATAATCCGCCACATGGGCTACGATGGCCCAGTCTATTTGTTTGCCGGGGGGGCAGCTGTTGTCTCGTATGTTGACAAAAGCCTCCAAGAACTCATTGATGGAATGATGCTTCAAAGACTGAATGAGAATCTCTTTAATCTCGCGCGAATTTAGAGCATGCGCAAGATTGTGCTTATGAGCAAGGTGCAACCTTAGAAAGCCGAGTACTGTAGTGTAGAGGACGGTAAGACGGAGGAGGGAACCACTCATGACCGAACAGAAAGAAGTGATAGGAAGATATACGGTGTGGATGATGCTACATTTAGGCCACTAACAAGTCCAGCTATTTGCGGCCACTTCGATTTTCGTCTTTTCGGCGTCGAGGGCCAAAGGAACAAGACGTAGCAAATTCTTGCAGGATTTGTGCACCGACACAAGCTAGAAACAATCCACAAAGCAAACCTACCCCTCTATAATACAATACCGGTAATATATATTGTGTATGTATACGAGCAGCTCCGCGCGCAATAGCATAGTTGGCGTGGGCAGAGTTATTCATTGTTCAGTCACGGCAAAGTTTGGTGTGGGACGGGGGACATTCTCTCCATTCTTGGGCCAAGATCAGAGCAGAGCAATATTTGGGAGCGTCGGGGCGAATATGGTACTGTACATTTACCATAGCAGTGCTAGGTAGTTACCGGTGCGTATAGATTCTGACAAGAAACGATATTTCCCTCGTCGCAACAACCCAAGCAAAAAGTCTCTTCTCTTTCTACTTGCTACAAACCGTCGCTTCGACGATACCGAGCCTTGCGCCAGTCCTTTCTCTCTCCTTCGCCCGTGGCACATCCGGCAGCTCTCTCCCCTCCCCTTCCATAGCAATGCCGAGCCAAGCCGCCGACGGCAAGAGGAAGCCGCTACAGGAATTTATATGTCGCATATGCGATTTCATATAGTAAAAGTGGACCTTTGTGTCGATCACCTTCAAGCCATGAGAAAGCGACAAGGAGCTCCACGATATAGAAAAAGAAAGAATATTTCTTGTCTTCTTTTCTCTTTCGAAGGGTATGACATCAAAAGGAGCGAATCGCAGGGCTGCATATCACTGTAGCGATATTCGTTAATAATGAATAGTAAAAACGCGACCCAAGGGCTGACTTGAGACTGAATCTTGGTTTCAAGCGACAAACCATCACCAACTGGGCGATATCAACGTGTATAGTACAGAGTATTTCGCAGGGGTGATACGTAAGCTATATAAAAGTGACGGTTCGGACCAGTAGGCTGATGACCGGCCTCTTCTGTGTAGGGCTTGAACCCGACTAAGACTCGGTCGGCAATCTCGGCGCAGCCTAGCCAGGGTCCATCAACAACGGGATTAGGTGCTTATTTTCTTCCTTTCTCTCTGACAATACGATGACCGTAGTAGACTAGCTACGTTATTAATACACCTAGCGTGGGCCGTTACATCATAATTTCACAAAATCAAGATGCTGCTAACCACTCGTTGCGTCGAAGTGTAGTAGGTACGCATGCTTTAGAATCCGACTATGAATTTGGTTTTCTAGGGTAGGGAAAAGCAGTGGAGCTCGCTACTCGAAACACCATATCGTCCTCCATTGTTCCAAGATATCAAGATCACAAAGTGACTTAGAAGCAAAGGAAAAAGATCGCAAACTCAGTTGCATGTTTCCACATAGACAGACAAGCTGCTGACTGTGCGTAGCCGGCCAACTACCTTGACCACCGTCGTGGCACTTCCGATGACAAAGATGGCCTCTGCACCACCCCGCTTCGCCTCCTCTACTACCACCTGGCTGAGCTCTTGCTGGCTTGCAGTGTGCGGCACTTTACGAAGCTGGCGCGTGCCCAACTTCTTATCGAGATTGTCAAAGTCCTGCTTCGCCGCGGACCAGACCACGTACCGCGGCGTCTTGCCAGCAACGGCCAGGATGCCCTTGCCGATGGCAAGCACGACTACGCTCTGGAAGAACCGTGTCGCACTCAAAATGCGGAACACGGGGAGCTGTTGTATCCAAAAAGTGCGTTGGAGCCGGTCGTGGCCGGGTAGCGACTGTGACTGAGGACTACAGTTCCCCAGCATGCCGACATCCACTATGGCGATCCAACCATTGCAGCCACCGCTCGAGGCGACCGCAACGGCGCAGTGCCAGTTGCTGCTCAGTGGGCTGCTGGCTGTCATCCACCGCCGCGCGCCAGACGCCAACTGGCGGCCACCCGTCACAATTTCCCACCCTTGACGGTCGGGAGCGCTCCACTTGCGTCGAGCCGTGACTCGACGCAGCGTCAGCCATGGAACGCCGAGGCTGACAAGTGGCGCAGCCAGCAACCAGACCTCCAGCGTGCCGCCAATGCGTCGGCCTGCCATGACGCCTTGGTCTCGACCTATGGCTGCTTGCACGACGGCAAGAGCCAAGGCCATAAGCCACACAGCCAGGCCGCCCGACTTATGCACCATGCACAGGACTCGGTTCTCACTCGGCGACCCCCACAACAGCGGTACAGAAGCCAGCCCCAGGCAAATGTAGGCAACCAAAAGCGTCCAGGTCGCCACCGCGATGACAAGCGAGGACGCCGAGGCCGAGACCGGGCTGGCCCAGCTTGAAACTGTCTGCTCAATGGAAAACCAGAGCAGCCAGAACATAGACCAAGCTGCCAGCGTCGCGTGCACCATGGCGCGGTTGCAAAAGACACCCGCCATCTGCCGCTTGACCCACAGTGGTAGAAACCTCGCTGCAGGCCCGTCGCTCATGCACGGATGCAGGACCAGATAAACTAGGCTGATGAAGGCATCCTGCTGCGACAGCATGGTCATGCTCACGTTGGCGGCAGCGAGAGTGTAGATGCTCTTTGTTTGTCGAGTGACGATCGGCAACAGGCTGACATTCACCAACATGGCCACCATCGACGCCATGGGCACCGTGCAGAGTAGGCGAAACAACGTGCAGGTGGCACCTTGGGCCACCATAGGTCTTTTCGGTGCTGCAACTGCCCCTTCGAGACAGGCTACTTCGCCCTTCAGTGCCGAAATATCCAGCGTACCGTCCACCCTGACAGGGAGCCGCGCGCGCGCGTGAAGCCTGACCCTTCCGGCGAGCTGCGGCTGCCTCGTGACGAGATTCGACTTCAGCTTGTTTAAGTTGAGATCGTCGGGGACGATAAAACTGTGCAAGGTGCCGTGAATGTCCAGCGTCTCCACGTACCACACGCTGTCTTCGAGCGCCAGCAGATGGTTGGCCGCGGCACAGTCTTCAAGTCGTTGCAGCATACTGTGTTCCGTCTGCCACTGGATAATTGTCCTCTCCACAGCTGGGTAGCGGCGCATGGGTACATCATATCTATCTTGCGCCTGCGTGAGACTCCACACGCACGCGTTGACTTGTGTCCAACGGTGCGTCAGATTTCGGGACAGTTGGCCAGGACCAGCAGCCACAGTGCGCAGCCGAGGAAACCTGTCCGGACGGCAGCCAGCCAGGACGGCAGGACTGGAAAACAGAACGTTGATCTAAAGCAGGTTAGCAAGACATTTCGCGGCGTTAAGAACAGCAGAGAACGGGGAGGACACGGACTTGCGAGGTTTGTTCATACGAGAGACCGCCTTGGATGACTAAGGTGCCACCATGACAAAGGCAGGACAATATTGCCAAGATAGCTTTGCCTAGTTAGCATAATGTAGAGAAATCATATCGTCGTCTTTGGAATTGCATGTCTTACATATATCCAACAGACTGCTGAGTACCAGGACCTGGCACCCAGGCTCAATGCCGAAGTTTTCTCGCGCCTGCAAAATCGTTTGCAGCAGGCTTGAGTGCGTCGCGCCCACAAGGTTTGGCCATTCGCCTGTCATACAGTATCAATGATTAGTTGAGCGCCTGGAGATTTGGCAAAATGATCAGTTTTTGACTTGCCGGGGCGCAACAGCCCGATAGCATCGCCGTCTGGCCGAGCCTTATCCAACCACGCCTCCGCCCGTTCCCCGCCTTGCAACCTGGGCTCCAGTCTGACAATGCAAATGTCCTTGACGCCGGCGGGCATCTCAGCCTGCGGTGTGCACGCAACGTACTGGGTTCCAAGGCTGCCACAGAGGCCACCGAGGTAAGCGGCGGTAATAGGTCTCTCTGGTAGTATCGGGATGCACTGAACACCACATGACATGGCACCAAGAAGAACAGCAATGGCATCGATGCCCCTTGTGCAAACCAGAATCACCCGCTTGGTGTCCTTTCTCAGCATGTTGCTGAGCTGCATGGCAAAGTTTCTGGCTTTTGACGCCAGCTCATGATAATCCGTGGCGTCGTTGGCTTCTCTTACAGCGAGTGCCGATGATGAGCATGCTCTCGCGAAAAAGACTGAGGTCAGCGTTGCAGACGGCGGCATTCTGGACAGATGGGGTGGAAGAGAGACTGGAAAGTTCCTCAGACGGAGGTTGTTGGACTTAAGTACGCCTCTTACTGTGGCGGCGCCAAGGCTACTTGCAAGGAACATGGTCCAGAGAAATGCAATACCACCCAGTTAGGGTACTCGCTTCCTGGCGTTATGTCCATGTGCGAGTACGCATCATCTACATCTGTGGATGCACAGACAGAGATTCAGCCCCTCGGGGATGATCAGCCGCATCTGGTGCGCCTCCAATTACGGGTCCTTGAGTTGGTGATGGGAACACTCGGACCGTTTTGAATCACGAGGCCCCGGTCAACCTGCAGCAGGGGTGTTTTTGTGATGAATCACATTGAGAAGTCGTGGTGGCGGAGTGTGGTAGGTTTATGACGCGTTACGGATTTTTGGACTGGAGATTGGGGCTGTCAAGTGAGCCATGCGTCGAAGAAGCATGCCAGTACTGAAGTGCTTTGAGGTGAAGGGGTGCAGAAGGCGTGTATAGAAGAAGCACATGCATATTCCGGTCTCGACTTGGAAAGCCTTATCCTACCCCACAACGACCAAGTGTCCGATTACTTGACAGGTCGGGTGACACTGTCAGATTTGCTTGTTCAAAGTCGATGAAAAGTTTTCTTCTTGCTGATGCTAACGTGTAGACAGAAATGAGACAACAGTCACAATCTAAACAGAGAAATGAGAAAATGCGGAAGGAAAAGACCGTGGCCATCAGTTGTTGACTTTGTCGAACAGGTCTTGGCGGCAGCACGGACACGTTCCCCTCTCTGCGATCCAGTGTCCAATGCAAGATACGTGAAACCAATGAAGACAAGCCCCAGAAGCCTGCGCGTCTCCCACGTTAAAGTCATCCAAGCAAATCATGCACCTCCCGTCCGATCCTTGCTCGGCTGTTCGATGCAATAGTTTGCTTGTCCATATCTCCGGAGGCACGTTCAACATGGCTGGCGAGACCCATCGTAACAATCTTCCCATCTCCAAGTTATAGAATATGGCAGTAAGCGGAGGCTCGGATGCAGACAACGAGCGACCGTCTGCGCTAGATGAGAGGAGAAGAGCCGAGGCCGGGGCTAGTATATAGCCGTGACAAAGTATAGAGCGGCGCAACTGGTCGTCACCCAGGACTTCGACTGCCAAAGTCTGCTGAGGCATGGCTGGCATCTGAAGTGAGTATGGGTGAAATGTCCTTGGGAGCGATACAGGACGCATTGTCGTTTGGCTGCGTGGATGGGTCGAGTATTGAATGTAGTGACGACGTGAGCGTGGTGCGTCCTCGAGTCGGACTGAAGAGTTCGGTAGTACGCAGGGAACGGTAGCGGAAGGTGAGTCTTGCAGATTGTCATCTGGGACCGAGTTTGCTGGTGACAATCTCTTGATGAAGAGAACGACAAGACTGGCGGGACCGGCAGGGCAGGAGAAGATAAAGAAGACAGGAGAAGAAAGGAAATGAAGAAAGTGGACGATGGGCCGGTGGTAGTGAAACTCGCCGAGTTTGGTCGTTGTCCGTCTGCTGAACAGAGGGGAGAGAACGGTGGGCGACGGCGCAACACCCCTGCCCACGTTGGCAGGTTGGCCCCTTAGCTCTCGTGAGAATACAGCAATGCAGCACAAAGCAACCTGTCATGATGATTCTGGCCGTTCTTTATGTCTGTCGCCTAGCACCTTGGCTGGTCTCTATGTCAATGTCTCGCGCCAACGCGGCGCGTATGTATATGCAGTTGATGGTGGGTGGAAGAGACAAACCTGGTACAGTACATATGGGCGCCGCTAGTGCTTTCAGTGAGTTTTAGCTACAAGGAACACATAACCGCTCTCTGACTCTTTAGGCAGCAGTCAAAAGGCAGCAGTGAAAAGCTGACAGCCACGAAAAGTATTACGTAGCTGATGTCCACCTAGGCCAACCTCTCATGAAACCCATTTTCTAAATGCAGACGACACGAATATTGGGGCGTGGTATGTATATGGGATAAAAAATTATAATATACGCGTCGGTAACGATCCAGGCAACGGCTCAGTGGAAGAGTATCGCGCTCGTCTCGGCGCTGGCGGCTCGCCCTCGACGCAACCTCGCATCCCCCCATGTGCATCCATCTAAAACCCGTAAACGCAAATACCTTATATCCAATGCCTGACTGATTTCAGCGACGGAAAGCTCGAACATGCACAGCACACCGCCTCGCCCGCGTCGTCGTCAGTTCATTTCCGCTTCTGTCGTTTGAATCAGTCATGCATTCGGACGTAGAGTACTTGCGTGTACGGGTTCTAGGGGGATGTACATGGGGGGATGCGGGGTTGCGTCGAGGGCGCCGAGACGGAGCGCGATACTCTCTCTCTGACCTGTTGCCTGGATCATTATGTGTGACTGAGGGAACGAGTAGGCGCGGTTGTGGGGGACGGCACATAGCGGTTGCATTCGACAAGGGCTGCTAGCGGGCTCGTCGATGATCAATGCATAGGTATAGCCGGAAGCCGGCGAAGCCGGTGATACAAAGGGCAGTGAGAAATGGCGCAGCGATAAGGGCGGGCACCTGCGCGTGGATACTGTCGCTACCGTGTATGGCACCACGTCATTGATTGCGTGCTTTTGTATTTATGTCAATAAGAAACCCAAGTTGAAGTTACAGTATGCATCTGTAACGGTAGCAAAATAGTAAAAGAAAACTGACAAAATAGGAAGGACACTCAACTGAGAGCCAGCTGGACAACCCAGGCGCGACTCCAGGAACTCGGCACATGAAGGTGCATGGATGGGATAGACTACAACTCAGGTGACTCGACACCGAAATCATGCTGAAGCACTGACAAAGACCCCTCACTAGTGGGCGAGTTGGAACGGTGTACAAACCGAATGTCCTGGTGGAGGTTAGTCAGAGGTCTTTCCCGTGCCGTACTGTACTATGGTTTCTCTCTGTTGAAGTAGTGGCAACCGGCCTGGACCGTTCGTTCTAATGAACTATGACTGTATTGTAGTACAGTACTGACCTCCGCGAAAAGTAAGTACCTTCACTGCTGCCCCTCACACCTTCCCGAAGCACAAAATTTGACCTATGCTCGCGGTGATATCTTAGTCCCTTCTAACAACATAAGATGCGCGCTTCTCAGGTCTGCTATACGTGACTTACCCGCTCCTTGTCACCCAATGCCTCGTCCAATGCCTCGTAGATACAGACAAGACAACAGCCCAGAACCAGACATCCACCAGCAAAGTAGCACATTCCAAATCGCCCTCCGTCGCTCGCCTGCGTGATCAGAGCATACAATGGACCACTTGCAAATAGCCTGCGGAGGGGTGTGTGAGCTGTGCGAACCCCGTTCTTTAAACTCAATGACTTACCCCAGACACGCCACGGCAGTATCCGAGACACAATGGCGGCTGCGTCGCGTCAGTTTCCGGTATCAGACAATGTCAACCAGCGCAACGCACCTATGCAATTGATGAACAGCAAATACGGTGACGAGAACATGTCCAAGAAAAAAGCCAAACGAGGCCGCGGCGATGGCCATCAAGGCGGATGTGACCATCATTGGAAAGGCCAACATGAGCAGCCCGGCCATGCCTGTCTCGATGAACAGAAGATGTGGACTGCCAAATACATCAGGACTCAAGAAAAGGGCCAAGAAAGGGCCAAGAAAGGGCCAAGAAAGGGCCAAGAAAGGGCCAAGAAAGGGCCAAGAAAGGGCCAAGAAAGGGCCAAGAAAGGGCCAAGAAAGGGCCAAGAAAGGGCCAAGAAAGGGCCAAGAAAGGGCCAAGAAAGGGCCAAGAAAGGGCCAAGAAAGGGCCAAGAAAGGGCCAAGAAAGGGCCAAGAAAGGGCCAAGAAAGGGCCAAGAAAGGGCCAAGAAAGGGCCAAGAAAGGGCCAAGAAAGGGCCAAGAAAGGGCCAAGAAAGGGCCAAGAAAGGGCCAAGAAAGGGCCAAGAAAGGGCCAAGAAAGGGCCAAGAAAGGGCCAAGAAAGGGCCAAGAAAGGGCCAAGAAAGGGCCAAGAAAGGGCCAAGAAAGGGCCAAGAAAGGGCCAAGAAAGGGCCAAGAAAGGGCCAAGAAAGGGCCAAGAAAGGGCCAAGAAAGGGCCAAGAAAGGGCCAAGAAAGGGCCAAGAAAGGGCCAAGAAAGGGCCAAGAAAGGGCCAAGAAAAGAGCCAAGAAAAGAGCCAAGAAAAGAGCCAAGAAAAGGAGGAGGGAGAAATCGGAAAGGGGACATCCCAGTCTTACCTTGATACGTATCGGCGGACGTAGAGTGATAAAAGATGTCCTATGATGGCAGAGGCCCAAAAGAGTATCGGCAAGGAGCCGCATATACCTCCCAAGCCCGAGTCGGTCCCCCAAAAGGCGAGAAAAATCAGTGGCATGGGAAGTCCCAGATGGACGAAAAAGACAGAAGAGATATGTAGCGCCTGCATGCTGAGGGGTATGGGTGACGGCGGCCCGGACAACTGCACTGCCGGGAGCGAATCTCTGCACAGGCACCACATGGCCGCCACCGGGCATGTGAGTAGGGCAGCTGAAATGAGAGCAATGATGCGGTACACTGAAGGTGCCGGCATAAGCTGAATGAGCACCTTGATAAGTAGAGACCAAAACAAAGCACCAAAGAGGGCGCCAGAGGGAATCAAAATGGACACTGCTTGGCTCTTAGAACTCTGTCGTTGGGCGACAAAGCCGGCCATGGTGGCGTGCCTAGATTGGGTAAGCAGATGATCAGAACTGAGCACGGGAGAGCTACTGTAGTTTTGTTTCCCTGTCTTTCGACCAAAGAACCAAGGTGCACATCTTACATGGCTGCTGCTCCGACAGCAAACAAAAATCCTTGGGCAACAAGAATCTCGACCAAGCATCGAGCAAAGCTGCACCAAAGCCAAGCCGCCACGCAGCAAGCCGCACCACCCGACATTAGACAGGCTTTGCTCCATGACGACGGAAATGTCACACCAGCGACGCAGTAAAAGGCGGAAAACTGTAGCACTCGTCAGACGCTTGCGCTCGTACACATGTCTCGATCGGACCATGCCTGCAAGCTACCCACTAGGGCGGTAGTGGCGATGCTTTCACTAGGAAACAGGGAATGCTGATACCAGTCTTGGAAGACGCAGAAGCAAAGGGCAATTCCTGGAGCGGACTATCCGTCAGCGATCGAAGCTGGGGCGAGCAAAAGTCCATGTGATACCTATCGTCGCAAAATTGCAAACAAATGCCGAGATGGCAAAGAGCCAAGCAGTTCTCGTTGAAGCTGCGACGGGCTCACCGGGCTCACCAGGCTCACCAGGCTCACCGGGCTCACCAGGCAGGCCCGGGGCTTTTTCGCAACCAGAGTCCGACATGAGGTTGAAAAGGCTATCAATGTCGATCGGAAGTCAGCCAGGCAGGCAAAGGAGTTGGCATACAAAGTG